CAGGCCAAGTAAGTCGTTGTACCTGGAAGCACTGACACTTCGTGAAATACTTGGGAGATGTAGCTTTGAAGTCTTACCCCTACTATCAAAATTTCTGTGATCACAATTGTAAGTTTTGAAGGATTTGCAAGAAATATTTGATGGAACTGTGACAACTGTCTCAACACTGAAACAGTTCCCTCAAAGATTTCTCACAAACCCTCCAAAACTTATATATTACGAATGTATAATACGAACTTATATATTACGAAAGAATTTATATATTACCTGTGCAAAATTTATACTGTGATCCACAGAAACTGTGATAGTGTAAACCGACCTTTATATAATTGTAATTTTATCTCTTAATTTGTAATTGCAATTCACCTTTGGTGCGAAAATATGTTAATGAACCATCAATCATTATTATTATGTATATTAGCAACCTCCACTGAGCACAAATCTAAAATCTACAGGCATGGATAGCATCGTGTAATATTGCCTAATCCTCATCTTAGGTTACATGAAGAGAGTGATAGTCCATCCTGTATTCCAAAATATCGCGTTTAAGGACGCTGAAAAGAAACTGGCTGGCATGGAACAGGGAGAATGCATTGTGCGACCCAGTAGTAAGGTTGGTGCTGATCCATGAACTTTTTCAAATTAACTTATTGTATATTGATTAGATGCCAGTACAACTGAACTCTGTACCCAAATTATAATGTATCACTATTTTCATTCTTCAACAAGATAACTTCAAGATTTAAGATCACAAATAATTAAATCAATTTTAGAAAGTAGTATGTCGTATTCGACCAAGTTGAGGAAAAATGACTTTGTTTGAAAGCTTTAAGTGGAGGAAGGAGAGCTAAATTGATATTAAATTTTACCTCGAAATTCCATTTACAAAATTTCCGTCTGACATGATTGAGTGGTTATTTTTCCAGGGTTCAGATCATCTCACCGTCACGTGGAAAGTTGATGAAGGAATATATCAACACATCGATATCAAAGAACAAGGAAAAAAGAATGCTTTCAGTTTAGGGAAGTCTCTTTGGATTGAAAACGAGGTAAGAAAACAGCAGAAGAAGCTGACGTTTATGTCGCCCACTTCACTCGCATATATTTCAATGCTTAGCCATCTTTGTTCCATTGTATCCTACATTTTCAGAACAGTAGTGACTAGGTACTTAGATTATCAAAAAATGTGAGTCAGTATTTGCAAAATCATGAAAATAAGTCAAAACAGTATGGCATGGAAAACAATATGATGTTGAAAACAATGGAAAGACAATAGGACGTCAGGATATGCTTGGGGTGGATCTATCTAGTCTATTGTAAGATCAGTTCATAAAACAGACCAGATAGACGCTATCAAAAATGAAGCCAATCCGAGCGAGACTAGGAGCAAGTCTATAGTTAGTTTTCGTATTAAGAGTTTTTTTTTTCTCTTTGAGGAATTTGAAGATTTAGATGAAATCATTGCTCGTCATATTCAACCCATGGCGACCCTTGCCCGAGATGTTCTCACGCACAGGTACTACAAAGACACTGAGGGAGGCAGCCGAACGATTATGCAGGAACATTTAAAAACAGAGAAAACGAAAAACCCAAAACGTATTCCGTATTTCTTATCGTCTACGAAAGAATGCCCGGGGAAGTTCATCCTGGGTTATATGCCCCGGACCAAAGCTCGTATAGAGTTTGTGTCGGTGACGCCTGATGGATACAAATATCGTGGTCGCATACACGCAACATTAAACGCCTTGTTTAAGTGGTTCAAGGAACATTTTAGAGACCCTATCCCAGGTATGTGAATATAAAACAGGTACCTTGCTGATTACCATTTGCATACATGTGAGGTTGAAGGTTAAAGGACATTGGCAATAAAAAATTAGTTTAGTTCATTTGAAAGAACTCTTAAAACTATATATTAAACTCTATTACAGATTGTTTATGTTCTTGCTTAGTTTTCAGAAAATATTTCGACTGAAAAAAGTGAGCTGTTCGCCATATTGGATTATTGAGGATATGCATGTTACGTCAAGTGAGGGGTCACGCTTATTTTTTATCTTGAGAGTAAGCGATCAATATGGGTCCAAAACTTCGTTTCTGGTTGCTGTCTGAAATTTACAAATGATTAAAAACTTTTCAAACAATTTTGGATTGTTACTCGGTCATTTTAGAGTAGTTTTATATGGTTAACCCAACTCCTGACGTCATCAAAACCATAGTTAATGAGGTCAGGAATTAGTCCAAGATGGCGAACAGCTCATTAATTTCGGTCTAAATATTTCGAGAACTAAGCAAAACATGACAAATCGGTAATAGAGTTTAATATATAATTTTAAGAGTTCTTTTGAATGAGACAAACTATTTTTTTATTGCCAATGTCCTTTAACTAAACCATTAATTCATTATTTCGATTTCAGGCGTGTCCCCTCGTCAGCGATCAACCGGTGGAACGGAAACCAATACACCCTACACTCCCGGCGATTTTACCCCTGCTCGAGATTCGACTCCTCGAGGTTCGACCCCCCGGACTACACCACAAGTCGATCCATCGAAAATCCTGCCTCAACTTCGCCAGGCATTTCCAGGTGGTGTGCTTAAAGATCCACAAATGTACACCAACTTGGCAGCAGCCGTCGCTCAACAGAGTCCGCAAACATCGCGGGCACAATACCCTCAGTTCGGCTATACACAACAATTCTCTCAACAATACCAACAGCCGACGTACTCGAGGTAGTACTGGGTACTAGGCATGCGTTGATCACGTGTGATGTTCTATGACTCACGGTGAAAGTCTTGAAAAAAAAAATGTTAAAAAAAAAACGCTACGGAATTTCAACAGGCTGTTGTGCATCATAAACGTAGCTAAACAGTTCGATTTTTACATAGGAAAAAAGAGCTGTTATTTAGCTTTTCTATGACACCTTTTTGAAATCGTAACGATGAGAAATGGCTACACACTCGTCAAATAAAAATTGCCGGTCGAAATCACATTCTTCCACCGTTGGGAATTGAAAATACATTAATTATGCAAAGTTAGTCAATCCAAAAGCAACGCGAGCCTGCTGCAAGCTATTTGTTTCATAAAACGTTTTGATAACGAATGTTCTCTGTTCAGGGGTTAATTGAACCATATATGTTTCCGTTGTTTCGTACCAAATTCGTATTGAGTTATTGTCTCACTAAGACGAAGATTGACGAGTTGAGCTTATTTTAGATAATTTAGCATTCAATTTTAATTCCCTCTTGGGAATTGTTTATGTTTCGTTTTCGATGCAATTCCCAGCGGTGGAAGAATGTGATTTCGACCGGCAATTTTTATTTGACGAGTATGTGGCCATTTCTCATCGTTACGACTTAAAAAGAGTATCATTGAAAAGCTAAATAACTGTTCTTTCGTCCTATGTAAAAATTGAATTGTTTAGCCACGTTTATGATGCACGACAGCCTGTTTAATTTCCGTAGCGTTTTTTTTGAGACACCCTGTATATGGCGTTACAGACACTATTTGGGTTTCACTAAAGCTTGATTCACACATAGTCTATCAAGATATGATGATCTGGAAACTGAACAGAAGTCATTGTTATATGTTTTTGTCGGAGTTTATGTTAATTTCTGAACGGTCACGGTGATTGAGCTCATTGTATTTTCGTAGAATGAAGTAATCGTCCAATAGGGATAGCTGAGATGAAACGTGCAACCACAATGAATAATATTTAATAAAGTTGAGACAAAGGATTTGTGCACGGTGATGTACAGTTCAACATCAAACAAAAGTCTTCTATTTTATGGCTTAGATGTTTGCCTGGCTTCCAAACCATCATATCTTGACAGACTATGATTTACATGAGTGGAATAAGCATAAGCAAGATACAAAAGAAATTTTACTCTTGGCAATTGCAAAGACACAAGCGGACAGAATTTTATTTTGAAATGTTTTTGTTCCCTTAGCTTGCATGTGCTTCGAGGTTTGTGCTCATCAGAGTAAAGAATGTTAATTCTTTTCGTCCTGTACTAGTGTTTGTTGTTCCTTGGCTTTCTTTAAGTCCTTCGCTGCTCCGCTTTCTGAAATGCCAGCATTTTTTTACTTCACGTCGTCAGGCGTACTCAAACCTGAAAGAGTTTTACAAAATTAAACTGTCTTGATTTGCAAGACGAGTAGAAAGTTGCAGTAATAGTATATTTGAAAAATAAAATAAACAAGCACATTGCCAAATAATATACGGCACATTGTTTAATGTTGCATGATTTGGATAGCATGTGTATTATGCATAGAGAAAGGACAGTAAAAAGAAGAAAAAAATTTAAAAATTTTAAAATGTATATAAAAAATATGTAAATGATCATGTTATCCAAAGTGTTTTGGAACTTGCAGGAATGGTATTGAGATTCGCTTTTCTTGCAAGTATCCCAAATAATCTGGATTCAATTTGTCATAGATAGAGTATGTTTTGTGGTTTTCTATTAGATGTAAAGTCCTCTAACCGGGACATTGTAGTTTGGTGATGGAATTGTGAGATGGTTTTCTATATATTTGAAGGTGTTTGTAATTTATGAAAAAATAAAGTATGTGTGTGTCTTCTGAAGTTACTTAATATTGATTTACTGTAAAGAACTCGTAAAATTGGAGACTATAAACTTTATATATTTTTATTCCATTCCGTTTTCAAAATATTTTAGACTTTTCATCTTTCTCACAGTTTCTGGAGAATTTGCAAATCTGGAATTTCCAGTAATATAAATGTTAACCATCTAAAATGATTGTAACGTATGTATGCAGAGGAATGTATGCTATTGTAGCAATTACGCTGGTAATGTAAACTAATTAGTAAATACATTTCTAATGTTACTAATTACCCCAATAATGGTACAAATTAAACTTCTAATGTCACAATTGCAATTAACTTTTTCACAAAAATGGCCAAAATGCCCGCAATCATGTGGTCAGTAGAAATATAATTCATGGTACTGGTATACTTAGTGTAATTTGAAAACAAAGTGGTTTCAATCCACACTGATCTTTTTAATAGTAATTTAGTTTTTCAATGAATAAGTTATATTTCTAAATTTTACAGCAATTTTAGCGAGGTTCATTAATATTTATTGTTTGAAAATGGCTGCAAAAATAGTTTTAAAAGACGTGCAAGAAGCGAGCAAGAGAATTGCACCGTATATCCACCGCACGCCTATAATGACTTGTTCAACTCTGGATAGGATGGCTGGGAAATCACTGTTCTTTAAATGTGAAATATTTCAAAAGGTTGGCGCGTTTAAGGTGAGAATTGCAGTGATATTGGGCTATATATACATTTAAAAACCATCTCCCCTGTCGAGGGCCTCTGCTTTTGGAGATTTGTACCCCTCTCACCCTCTGGGATGAAAAAAATCCATGTAATTGAATCCTCTTGAATCCTCCTCTGGAAGTGCATTTTAACCCCTCTGGAAACATAATTTTTCACCCATTTTTCCCAATTACTTGTCTGGAAAAAATTACTAATTACCCCCTTTGGGAATTGAGAGTTCTTGGGGCAGGGGGGGGGGGGGG